TGGGGGTGGTATCGGCTGCAACTGTCCTGCTGACCGATGCCGTGATAATTTCATGAGCTGGCAAGTGGGACACGATGCCACGTGTCGCTGTACGTCGGTCAATACTGTAAACGAAGATGTTGTCGAGGTAAAGTATCACGCATTTATCTAAGAGTGGCCTAAACGCCTCGTTCATGGTCATCTGAAATGTCGCTGGTGCACTGGTCAGCCCGAAAGGCATCACGGTGTACTCGAATGACCCGTATCTAGTCCGGAAAGATGTTTTGGCGCAGTCCGATGGTTCGACCCGAATCTGATGGTAACCTCCCCGTAAATCCATTTTCGAAAAAACCCGTGCTGTTCGCAGTTGGTCGATCAGTTCGTCGGCGCGGGGAATGGGGTACCGCGACTTGACTGTTACCCTGTTGAGCGCTCGGTAATCGATGCACATGCGACCCCCGTCTTTTTTTTGCGTGAACAGTATTGGTGCGGCGAACGGTGACGAGCTCGGTCGGATAAATTTCTTCTCTAACAAGTAATCTAACTGCTTCCTCAGTTCGTCGAGCTCGGGCTGTGTCACTCTGAACTGGCGCTGTACAGTTGGCTGTGCCCCCGGTTCTAATTCTATCCGGTGGTTATGTGCTCGCTGAGGTGACAGTCCTTCTGGTAAGTCGTCGGGAAAAATCCCGGAGTATCGTTTCAACAGTTCCTGTAGTTCGGGCGGTATGGCTGCTAGCAGTTTCATGAAATCACTCGGCTCCTCTGCTCCTTCTACCACTGAAATGTCTATTGCGTACACATCAGGTCCAGCAGCGACAGCCCGTTTCATGGTGACGGCGTTGACGTGTACCGTTGAAGACTCGGGCGACTGCCAGCGAGGTAGCTCAACCCAGTTACCGCTACTTCGCACAGTGCAGCTACCCGTCGTCCAGTCAATTCGCAGGTTGTACCGTCACAGCCAATCACGTCCCAGTAAAATGTCGTGCCCATCGAGTGTCGTCGCGAGCATTTCCTGTGTAAATCCAAAATTTCCCCCGCAGCGGACTTTGACTCTCTCCACCCTTTCCCGTATGGCCAGTGGCGTGCCGTCGACTAAGCGTGCATCTATCTCCGGTAAGCAACGGCTAAGTGTCAGTTGCAGCTTTCGTGCGGTTGCGGTATTAAGTAATCAGTGACTTGCTCCTCCTTCGATAAAAATCTTCACTACTGCTCCCTGTATTTTCCCTTGGATCAGTACTGGGCAATCCGTCGCTGTACCCTCCTTATTCGTCCGAGTCCGATCGATAGCATGAATCGGTACTATGACTCGGTGAGGGTCGGTGGGGTTGGGCGAGCAGGCAGTCTCGTCAGTAGTTGGCCCGATTCCTAGTGACTGCCGGCGTTTCCCTACCTTGGAGACTCCCTCCCCTGCTCTGCTCTGCGGCGCCTTAGCTCCTCTAGGCATTCACTCTTGCGATGGCCCGACCTATTGCAAGCAAAGCAGCGCCCCTTAAACGGCGTGGCAGCTGCATTCGTCGCAACGGCATGTACGGTGGCGTCCTCGATCGGTCCCCGAGGACGATGTCCGTAGTAGGACCCCGGTCTCGGATGGCGCAAAATGTCGATTTTCTCGGCGAGCGCGAGAATCTCGTTGAAGATTGAGATCCCGCGTAGCATGATCTCGTGCGAGATGTCCGGCTTCAACCCTCCGACGTAACGGTCCACCCGCTCCGCTTCGTGCATGTAGCCGACTTGTTCGCATAATGCGAGAAAACCAGTCGTATAGTCTTGAACCGACCCGAGCTGCCGCCAACAGTCTCTGACGCGCCAAAATAGTAGCCGCGATCGGCTCGAAGCGCGCCCGAAGCCCTGCGCACCACGCATCTCACGTGCTGTATTGGACGGTTTTGCAACGACACACCACCGATTAAACTTGGCCCAGAATACACCTAACCCGCGAAAATTTCAAGCCCTGAAAAACAAATTACAGACCCACCCTGGACCAGATTCGGCAGTATCTTTCAAACACCCAGAATTACGATGATATGAAACATGCTCTCCTCATTTTGCCAGGTAGCGTCCTCCGTTGCGTCCTTGTACTCAAAAGGGGTCCAAAACATTACCCACTTCAACATAAATACCGCCCTGTTCAACCCTTGGACCAAGAAAGAATGAGGGTAGCTACCCACAAGCGTCATATTTCAGGGTTTGAAATCACCGCAGTTTAGGTGTAGAAGTTGGCACAGGTTCAATACAATAACCAATACTGAATACAACATGAAAAGTGAGACATCAAGACTAGATTGATGCGTCTTCGGATTTGTTTTCCCAATCTACGCCAAACCACAGCCTCCTTAAGTCCCTGCCTAGGTTTATTGCTACCCATTTGCATGACAGACCATTTGAGGCAAAGTAGCTGGTACTTATTAACATAGGAGGCATTATTGAAGCTTAAATTTAAGGGTGAGTGAGAACGATGGTTAACCCAGCGCCCCCCCCCCATACACGGCATGTATTGACTGTACTCCTCAAACACACCGTGGTCGGCGTCACTGCTGCATTTCTGTGAAGCCAGAACAAACATTTTTTCCGGATCATCACTCCCTCGAATGCCAACCTCACCGTCCCCAACCACACTGCCGCCATCCCCACCGTTTCCAACCCCATAATTGCCCGCCACAGTGTCGTCTGGCATCAGGAAAAGGTCATCCAAGCATGCATCTGGATCTGACACATGCATGCATGAGTCCATGGAGCAGCCACTCATGCTCCCCACAGCCATGCCCATGCTGTCAACCCTACTGATTTGACGTGTGTTGGACCGACTACTGCTATTCTGGAAGCTAGAGTGTGCGCCAGTGCTTGTGCTGTCACTTGTAAGTGCATGTGCTGTACAATTGGGAAGTATACTCTGGGACCCTGCACTTGTATGCAGCCCATGCAGAGTCGTGTGGCCTGTGGGAAGCCCAGTGAGCCCGGAAAGGCTGGGTATGGGAGTGCTGCTGCTTCTGTAGTGACCACTTCTGCCTGTATAATCTGCTATGTAATCAGCTCGTTCCTGCTGCTGCTGCTGCTGCTGCTGCCGTTGCTGCTGCTGCTGATGTTGCGGCTGCTGCTGAAGGTGTTGCTCCTGCTGCTGATATAGCAACGACTGAAGATCCCGGTGCTGGGAAGAAATCAAAAGGGAGTAACGCGGTTGATCAGCTGCACTCTGCTTAGCACATGCTGTGCTCGGTTTGATGTCCCAAGGATCACAACTCGGCCAACCATCTACTCCACACACAGCCATGGCACCATCATCATCTGCTCCCACCGAATCACAACTCATCCCACCACCAGGGTTACAGCTACAGGTGGTTACCCCAGGGTTGGTGGTGGTTACACGGGAAGCAGCCAGTATAGGTGGAGTTGACACAGGGGTGAGTGCTGGGGAGCCGTCGGTACTAGGGACGGGTTGACAGGGCCAGCTGTACTCAATCGGCTCGCTTTTCCCGGTGAGTTGGTGAGAGGTGGGGGCTGTTGCGACGTAACCACATGCGGTGGTGTCCACACTTTGCAGCACCGCGCTTTGATTATCGTAAGGGAGCGGGTCTGCAGTGTGAGGTTTGCACTTGGTTACGCCGGTGGTGGTTACGCCAGTGGCGGTTACGCCAGTAGAGGTTATGCCAGTGGTGGTTACGCCAGTAGTGGTTACGCCAGTAGTGGTTATGCCTGTGATGGTTATGCCAGTAGTTATGCCAGTGGTGGTTACGCCAGTGGTGGTTGGAGTCTCCTGGGTACGAAGATGTTCCATGCAGAGGAGAAATGAGGTTGCTTGAACCTGCTGGTGCTGGTGCTGATGCTGGTCTTGCCGCTGATGCTGATGCTGGTCTTGCTGCTGATGCTGATACTGGTGTTGCTGCTGCAGCGGCAGCGGCGGTAACGGCGACTGTTGCTGTGGCGGCTGCAGCTGCTGATGCTGCAGATGCTGTTGCTGCTGCTGTTGATAGTGGTACTGCCGGTGTACCTGCTGTTGTGCCCCTGCCACTGCTCTGCACTGGGATGCGGCTGCTGGTACTGGAGAAACTGCTGCTGCTGCTGCTGCTGCTGCTGCCCCTGCTGGTGAAGCCTCAGCTCCTAGAAACCGGTGCAGTTGGAATCACGACTTTGCTGGCTCCCGACCTTTGAGGCTGTTGGGTCAAGAAGCATGGGGCGAGCTTGATCCGTTTGATCTGTTTGAGTGTACATTGCGTCGTCGACTCGAATGTATGAAGGCTGGGGAGCGTTGGGCACATCACAGGCCAAGCGGGTGCATGAAGGTTGTAGCAACGGAGGGAAAGGGGATGGAGGCGGCGGCACCGCTGTGTGACTAGAAGGGTGACGAGGCAGAAAAATATCCTTAAGAGGCAAGCAAGGAGCGTTAAAAGGCTGTGTGTGAGCAGCTGAAGATGGGACAGCTTGGACACAAGGTCCGGGTGGAGGGGTGGTTGCTCCATAGGTCACAGGATTTGCAAGAGACTCAGGATGGCTCATTGCAGGAAGACAGGGTGAGGTGGAAGGGGACAGTGTAGCAGCAGCAGGAATACAGGTTGCAACAGCGGCAAGAGGAGCACTGGTCATAACGGGTGCAGAGGATGTGAGAGGAGCACAGGATGTAGCAAGTGCGCACGGGGATGCAGCAAGTGCTCGTGGTGATGCAGCAGGAGTGAAAGATGCTGGAGCTGATGAGTGGCTCGAAGGAGGAGTGAATGATACAGCAGGAAGTGGAAGTGCAGCAGGAGCAGGAGCACAGGTCGTAGCAGCAGCGCAACAGGTGCAGGCTGTGGCAGGCGCGCAGGCTGTGGCAGGCGCGCAGGCTGTAGCAGACGCGCAGACTGCAGCAGAAAACGATGCAGGAACGGGGGTCCATGCTGTAGCAGCAGGAGCAGGTGCAACCAGAGCGAGGGTTGGACCGGAAGGGCAGGTCACAACAGCAGGGCTGGGGGAAATGGAGCGAAAGGGCCGGGTTGTAGAAGCATCGACGGATGGCGGTGGGTGGTTGTGTGAGCCGTGGTATACTGTCCTCACCACCACACGCATCTCAGTCCTTGGCATCTCCACACTGCCTGTCTCCTCCTCAGCAGCTGCAACCGCCTCTCTGGTACTAGCAGGGCCGGCTCTGAATGTGGCCTTTGAGTTGGTTGTGGTCCCAACGCCTTGATGCCTCTGCAATGCACCAGTTGCGCCTTGATGCCTCTGCAATGCACCAGTTGCGCCTTGATGCCTCTGCAATGCACCAGTTGCGCCTTGATGCCTCTGCAATGCACCAGTTGCGCCTTGATGCCTCTGCAATGCACCAGTTGCGCCTTGATGCCTCTGCAATGCACCAGTTGCGCCTTGATGCCTCTGCAATGCACCAGTTGCGCCTTGATGCCTCTGCAATGCACCAGTTGCGCCTTGATGCCTCTGCAATGCACCAGTTGCGCCTTGATGCCTCTGCAATGCACCAGTTGCGCCTTGATGCCTCTGCAATGCACCAGTTGCGCCTTGATGCCTCTGCAATGCACCAGTTGCGCCTTGATGCCTCTGCAATGCACCAGTTGCGCCTTGATGCCTCTGCAATGCACCAGTTGCGCCTTGATGCCTCTGCAATGCACCAGTTGCGCCTTGATGCCTCTGCAATGCACCAGTTGCGCCTTGATGCCTCTGCAATGCACCAGTTGCGCCTTGATGCCTCTGCAATGCACCAGTTGCGCCTTGATGCCTCTGCAATGCACCAGTTGCGCCTTGATGCCTCTGCAATGCACCAGTTGCGCCTTGATGCCTCTGCAATGCACCAGTTGCGCCTTGATGCCTCTGCAATGCACCAGTTGCGCCTTGATGCCTCTGCAATGCACCAGTTGCGCCTTGATGCCTCTGCAATGCACCAGTTGCGCCTTGATGCCTCTGCAATGCACCAGTTGCGCCTTGATGCCTCTGCAATGCACCAGTTGCGCCTTGATGCCTCTGCAATGCACCAGTTGCGCCTTGATGCCTCTGCAATGCACCAGTTGCGCCTTGATGCCTCTGCAATGCACCAGTTGCGCCTTGATGCCTCTGCAATGCACCAGTTGCGCCTTGATGCCTCTGCAATGCACCAGTTGCGCCTTGATGCCTCTGCAATGCACCAGTTGCGCCTTGATGCCTCTGCAATGCACCAGTTGCGCCTTGATGCCTCTGCAATGCACCAGTTGCGCCTTGATGCCTCTGCAATGCACCAGTTGCGCCTTGATGCCTCTGCAATGCACCAGTTGCGCCTTGATGCCTCTGCAATGCACCAGTTGCGCCTTGATGCCTCTGCAATGCACCAGTTGCGCCTTGATGCCTCTGCAATGCACCAGTTGCGCCTTGATGCCTCTGCAATGCACCAGTTGCGCCTTGATGCCTCTGCAATGCACCAGTTGCGCCTTGATGCCTCTGCAATGCACCAGTTGCGCCTTGATGCCTCTGCAATGCACCAGTTGCGCCTTGATGCCTCTGCAATGCACCAGTTGCGCCTTGATGCCTCTGCAATGCACCAGTTGCGCCTTGATGCCTCTGCAATGCACCAGTTGCGCCTTGATGCCTCTGCAATGCACCAGTTGCGCCTTGATGCCTCTGCAATGCACCAGTTGCGCCTTGATGCCTCTGCAATGCACCAGTTGCGCCTTGATGCCTCTGCAATGCACCAGTTGCGCCTTGATGCCTCTGCAATGCACCAGTTGCGCCTTGATGCCTCTGCAATGCACCAGTTGCGCCTTGATGCCTCTGCAATGCACCAGTTGCGCCTTGATGCCTCTGCAATGCACCAGTTGCGCCTTGATGGCTGTGTGAGGGAAGGCTCTGCAATGCACCAGTTGCGCCTTGATGCCTCTGCAATGCACCAGTTGCGCCTTGATGCCTCTGCAATGCACCAGTTGCGCCTTGATGCCTCTGCAATGCACCAGTTGCGCCTTGATGCCTCTGCAATGCACCAGTTGCGCCTTGATGCCTCTGCAATGCACCAGTTGCGCCTTGATGCCTGTGTGAGGGAATGCTGGTTGAGCGGCGGTGCCGGGCCTCTCCAGCCACGCGGTCTTCCGTCTTCTTCGCCGTGCAGCCTGTCCCTTGCTTGGACGCGCACACGAAGTACAGCCTGCAGGGACCAAAGGGGTGAAGTAGGAGCAGAATGTGCTCAGTGAAAGTATTGGCAAGGCCATGACATGCAGCTATGTATGACATGCAGGAATCTATGTCATGCAGGATCCATGACACGCCATGCTTCCAAGCTGGAAGGGGATCACTGGTCGTGCGAAGGCCGACAGATCCGGGGGAGGTTCAGAAAGGAGCAAGAAACATGATGAGATCTGTCCCACATTCGTTGTAAAATAACATCTTGTCAGTCTGAGAGGCAGCGTTTACTAGCAACGATAAAATGATCATCAGTCCCAAGGCGCGTGATGAAATGCTGGACCAATGAGAACTAGTACACGGTGCAGCTGGAATTCGCCTTTTCATCTGCTGACCCACGATGCGCTTGTGGGAAGTCTTTCTCCATTTGTAGCCCTCATGGTGCTGTTGCAGCGGCAGTTGCTGGGCCGCTGCCACCTCAGGCTGTTGCGGCGGCGGCATGTCGGTCCAACTCACAACCATGCAATCCTGGTTCAAGCCAATGACGTTGCCGATCGCCGCCGGCGTTGGTGAACGTCTTAACTCTACTACTTCAACAGCCGCCGGCGAAGACCTAGTAGTTGCAGCATCACCGTAATGCTGACCTTCATGTGCAAACTCTGAACTGGATCCTGTAGCCAGCGAAGACCTAGATGAAGTAATACTGGGTTCATCACAAAAAACCTTGGTTTAGGGTTTCGGGTCAAGGGTGGTGGTTGTGTTGGAGGCTGGAAAGAGTCAGGTGGAGAGGGGACGGGAGGGAGGGGAACAAGTTGAAGAGGGACGAAGAAGTGTGGTTAGGGTGAGAGAGGAGCAAGAAGTGGGGAAGGGAGGAGTATTGAGGCGCCTCAAAAGGTGAACAGGTTCCGGAGGGACGGATAAGTGTGGTTAGGTGAGTGAGAAGCAAGAAGTGGGGAGGTGAGGAGAGGAGAGAGGAGAGGAATGGAGGAGTGGTGATTGAGAGGCGAGAAGAACACAAGAGAAAGGAAGCTGCAGTGATGGTTCAGAAGTAAAGTGTGCATACATGGGATGGGATGGATGTGATTTGCTGTGGCTCCTAAAGAAACATGAATATCTTAAGGACAAGAGAAGCCGCCCGCATGAACACTTACTTGGGACGCATGTGTAAGCGCCATTGGGCCGGTACCCCTGGTCAAATCCCGGCGGACAGAGACAAAAGAAGCCGCCCGCATTGTCGTTGATGCACGTGCCGACCGCACAGGGATTGTCATCCTGCAGGCTGCACACGTCAGCTGGCAGGGGGCGAGCGGGAAGGGGCGAGTGGGGAGAGGGGACGTGGGAGGGGGCGAGTGGGGAGAGGGGACGTGGGAGAGGGCGAGTGGGAAAAGGGAAAGTGGGAGGGGGCGAGTGGGCGGTGGGGAGGGGACGAGGGGCGGGGGCAAGGAGAGGGGAAGAGGTCGGGGGAGAGGGGAGGAGGCGCAAGGGAAGTTGGAGGGATTGGGAGGGAGAGGGAGGGAGGAGAGATCCAATGTAAGGTCATGTGTTGTAATGGGAAGGGAAGGGCGGGAAGATGATGGCAAGTGGGGAGAAGTGGGTGAAAAGCGGGGACAGGTGGGAAAAACGGGGGACAAGTAGGGGGAAATCAGTGTGAGCCTTGTTCATAGTGTTTTGAGGATTCTCAAAAGCACCCTGCAACTCAAACGAGTGTCACGTTTGTGCTTCCTGGATACCATCCCATCTCAACCATGCCTCCTCTCCACCCCATCTCAACCACCCATGCCCGCACCCCATCTCGCCAAACACACAGGTGTGGGCGCCACTCACCAAACACACACGTCTGCGCGCCGCCTTTGTCAGTAACGGCTATGAAGTACGGCTCCTCGCACATGCATGTGTACTGGCCGTTCCCAAGGTCCTGACATGTGCCTCCCCCACATGGGTTCTGAGGTGACAGGCATGGCGAGGGCGCTGGTGTGTGGGGAGGGGGCAAGGAAAGGGGGTTCAAGGTGCTGACATGTCACTGGGTGCTGAGTGTGCGAGTGTGCGTGCGAGTGCGCGTGTGTGTGTGCGTGCGAGTGCGCGTGTGTGTGTGCGTGCGAGTGTGCATGCGAGTGTGTGTGCGAGTGTGCGTGCGAGTGTGCATGAGAGTGTGTGTGCAAGTGTGCGTGAGAGTGTGTGTGCGAGTGTGCGTGAGAGTGTGTGTGCGAGAGTGCGTGAGAGTGTGTGTGCGAGTGTGCGTGAGAGTGCGTGAGAGTGTGTGTGCGACTGTGCGCTAGAGTGTGTGCGAGTGTGCATGAGAGTGTGTGTGCGAGTGTGTGTGCGAGTGTGTGTGCGAGTGTGCGTGAGAGTGTGTGTGCGAGTGTGTGTGCGAGTGTGTGTGCGAGTGCGCGTGTGTGTGTGCGTGCAAGTGTGCGTGCGAGTGCACATGTGCACGTGCGCTCTGGATAGAAGCAAGAAGATCTACTCACTCTTAATGATGGAGTAGAGGGCCGGCACTGAGTGAATGCCACAGATGCCAACGCCTCCCTCAAAGGCCATTTGCATGTAACCCTGCATGAAGAGAGTGAGAATGCAGAAAGAGAGTGAGAACACATGCAGAGGAAGCGAAGAGGGGAGGGGAGAGAGGGAAGAGGAAAGAGCAGGAGAAGAAAAAACGGCTCGGGAAGAGGAGGAGCACGTGACACAGTGCAATCGGTTACGTGGCACTAGGAGCATGACGGTACATCCCTGTGAGGCTAACAGCACACATCCCACCTGCATGCCCCACGTGCCCCCCCAGGAGTTGCGGAGGATCCAGAATGCGCTGTCAGCCGTGATGCTGTAGCCCATCACCACCACGCTGTGATCCACCACTCCCGCCGCTGCACACCCTGCGTCGCTGTATATGCCCTGGATGGGAGGGAGCAAAGTGGAGGGAGAGAGAGAGAAGAGGAGGGAGAGAGGTGGAGGGGTTGGAAATGGGAAAGGTGAGGACGGTGCAATGCATGGTACCTCTTGCACCACTTCATTTTTTAGTCGACTCAAAAGTAACTCTCACACCACCCCATCACTAGCACGCTGTGATCCACCACTCCTGCCGCTGCACACCCTGGGTCGTTGTTTATGCCCTGTGAAGTGGGGTAACATGCGGACGGGGAGAGGTGGAAGGGAGAGAGGAATGAGGGAAAGGAGGAGGGAGAAGGGAAAGGAGGAGCACAGTTGACATCATTCCATGGCTGCATGCCATGCATGTTATTGCTTCTACATGCCATGACTGCCCATCACATGAGCGAAGCAAAGTCCCTGCTACCTGTGAGGAGGACAGGATGAAATCACTTCTGGGGATTCTCAAAAGGGGGTAAGAGCCTCTAAGTCGGCTGAAAAATACCACCTAAACTCTGCTCCCCGTACCTGTGTGTGTGTCTGCGTGTGTGTGTGTGTGTGTGTGTGTGTGTGTGTGTGTGTGTGTGTGTGTGTGTGTGTGCGTGTGTGTGCGTGTGTGAGTGTGTGCGTGTGTGTGTGTGTATGTGCGTGCGTGTGCGTGTGTGTGTGCGTGTGTGTGTGTGTGTGTGTGTGTGTGTGTGTGTGTGCGCGTGTGTGTGCATGTGTGGGTGCGTGTGTGTGTGTGCGTGTGTGTGCGTGTTTGTGTGTGTGTGTGGGGGGGGGGGGCGGGGGAGGGGGGGGGTCTGGAAGGAAGTGTAGGCGTCTCAGAAGCCTCAATGAAACGCGACGGTGGCTTTTGAGACGCTCTTATGCCCCAAAAAATCGAGCCTTGGTGCCTTTGGCGTCATACCAAAAGGGACTCAAAACACACCCAAACAGTGCAGTACCTCTGAGTGCGTGATGTTGCAGGTTGTTTTCTGAGAAATCTCAAAAGCAACTTGCAACGAGCCTCGGTGCCTTTTGCGTCAACCCAAAAGGGACTCAAAACAGTGCAGTACCTCTGAGAGTGCGTCTGGAAGGAGGGGTGACTGCTTCTGGGTCGGCTCAAAACACACACCACACAGTGCTTCCCTTCCCGTACGCCATTGTAACAAGGTGACTTTTTAGTTGACTCAAAAGTCACCTGGGTCGGCTCAAAACACACACCATACATTGCTTCCCTTCCCGTACCTGCGTGTACGTCTGGAAGGAGGGGTAGGAGCCTCGCACGAATGCAATGGTGGGTTGCGTCTGCAGCAGAGAGGCGTTGGGGCAGCATAGTAGGTAGGGAAGGAAGGAGAGGCGGAGGGGATGAGAAGGGAAGGTGGATTAGGAGGGGTAGGAGCCTAGCACGAAGGCAATGGTGGGCTGAGTCTGCAGCAGATAGGCAAAGGGGGGGGGGGAGTGAGTAGGAAAGGGAAGGAGAGGTGGAGAGGTGGAGTGTAGGAGAGGGGAGGGGGGCGAGGGAAGGGGAGGAGAGGAGAGGGAAGGAGAGAAGAAGGTGAGGAGAGGAGGAGAGGATAAGGGGAGGAGAGGAAAAGAGGAGGAGAGGAAGGGGAGGAGAGGGGTAGGAGAGGATAAGGGGAGAAGAGGATAAGGGAAAGAGATGATAAGGGGAGGAGAGGAGAATGAGAGATGAGGAATGGGCCGATTGGCAAGTGCGGGCGGAGAGGAAGGGGAAGGTAAGGGGTGAAGAAGCTACAGCCAGAATGTTTGTGCAAATTACATGCCCTCTTACCTGAACTGTCACAGAAGTATTATCTATAATCGGCACGGAAGCACACCAGCACGGAAGCACACCGGCACGGAAGCACACCGAGCCTTACGTTGACACCGAGCCTTACGTTGACAGCGAGCAGCAGGGCGAGCCAGCCGTAGAAGTCCACCTGGTCGTACCCCGTGATGCCCACCAGTACTTGCCATGACTTAACGTGATACCTAGTTGGCGTTTAGCCTTACGTTGACAGCAAGGCTTGCGTTGACAGCAAGGCTTACATTGACAGCAAGGAGAAGGCCAAACCAGCCGTAGAAGTCCACCTGGTCATACCCCGTGATGCCTATGGTCGTCGCCTGGGCGCACAGACACGGCGCAGGGGTATGGGCGCAGGGACATGGGCGCAGGGGTATGGGCGCAGGGATATGGGCGCAGGGGTATGGGCGCAGGGATATGGGCGCAGGGATATGGGCGCAGGGATATGGGCGCAGGGATATGGGCGCAGGGATATGGGCGCAGGAATATGGGCGCAGGGATATGGGCGCAGGGATATGGGCGCAGGGATATGGGCGCAGGGATATGGGCGCAGGGATATGGGCGCAGGGATATGGGCGCAGGGATATGGGCGCAGGGATATGGGCGCAGGGGCGCACAGAGAGGGCGCATGGGCGTGTGGTGACAGGGGCATGGGCGCATGGCCGAACAGACAGGGCACATGGGCGTGGGTGCATAAGTATGGGCGCATGGGCATGGGCGCAGGGGCGCATGGGCGCATGGGCGCATGGGCGCATGGGCGCATGGGCGCACATGGGCACGTGAGCACATGGGCAGGGGTGCAAAGTCAGGGCACAAGAGCAGGACACTAGGTCATAAGAATATACATGGGCAAGGCACCGTTCCCAGATGCACCCTCCCCCAGGCGTACCTCCCCCAGGCGTAGTACCTCTTCCAGGCAAACCACCCATGTAACGCCTGTGAAATACTGGTGTTAGAAGTTGCCTCCCCCAGGCATTCCGCTGCCTTTTGAGTCGACTCAAAAACCACCCATGTAACGCCTGAGAAATATTAGTGTTAAAAGTCTCCTCCCCCAGGCGACCCGCTGCCTCGGCGGTGAGGCTGCCCCACTGCCGCATGGCGACGTGATAAAAGTTGAGTTCTGAGACGATTCAAAAGGCTAACTCGGCGAAAAGCCCTCCCCACTGCCGCGGTATTGAGATTTCTCAAATACCACCTCCCCCTGGCAGACCACCCCCAGGCGTACCTTGCGCCGGACGCATCCATCTCAAAAATCCCGAAAGGGTTTTTGGTATGCGGTTTTCCGTTCCGCAAACAGTAGGCGAAATGAATCCCCGTATGGTAAGTAAATGTGTACTCTATAGTTACCAAAATTGGTTTAGTATGTAAAACGCTACTGTAAAACGATTTTGTATATGCTAAATTTATATGTTTCCTCCGACTTGCTTGCAAATGTTCCCAGATTGAGCTAATCATCAGGAAAATGTGAAACTGCCGAATATGCACATGGCGCATGTTTGTGCGTTCCATGGTGAAACTGTACAATGATAGGCATGTACGCAACATGTCTGCTCGCCAACGTCTTGATGCCTTTTTTACCACTATTTCTTCACGCAGTTCCCTACTACATCCTATTCCCTAGCCATAGGATTTGGTTTGACCTCGTTCGCACAACTACGCGGCACGTGGCACATGTTTGTGCATTCCATGGTGAAACTGTGCAAGGATAGGCTTGTACGCAACATGTCAGCTCGCCAACGTCTGGATGCCTTTTTTACCACTTTTCCTTCACACATTTCCCTATTACATCCAATTCCCTAGCCATATGAATTGGTTTGACCTCGTTCGCACAACTACGCAGCACGTGGCGCTTGTTTGTGCATTTGCTGGCCTGAAACTGTGCAGGGATAGGCCTGCGCGTAACATGTCACTGTTTCAACGTGTTGACGTGGTTTTTACCTCTATTTCTTCACACATTTCCCTAGTACATCCTATTCCCTAGCCATAGGAACTGGTTTCACCTCGTTCGCACAACCACGCAGCACGTGGCGCTTGTTTGTGCATTTGCTGGCCTGAAACTGTGCAGGGATAGGCTTGTGCGCAACATGTCACTATTTCAACGTTTGAATGTGGTTTTTACCTCTATTTCTTCACACATTTCCCTAGTACATCCTATTTCCTAGCCATAGGAACTGGTTTGACCACGTTCGCACAACTACGCAGCACGTGGCGCTTGTGCATTTGCTGGCCTGAAACTGTGCAGGGATAGGCCTGCGCGTAACATGTCACTGTTTCAACGTCTTAATGTGGTTTTTACCTCTATTTCTTCACACATTTCCCTAGTACATCCTATTTCCTAGCCATAGGAACTGGTTTCACCTCGTTCGCACAACCACGCAGCACGTGGCGCTTGTTTGTGCATTTGCTGGCCTGAAATTGTGCAGGGATAGGCTTGTGCGCAACATGTCACTATTTCAACGTTTGAATGTGGTTTTTACCTCTATTTCTTCACACATTTCCCTATTACATCCTATTTCCTAGCCATAGGAACTGGTTTGACCACGTTCGCACAACTACGCAGCACGTGGCGCTTGTGCATTTGCTGGCCTGAAACTGTGCAGGGATAGGTCTGTGCGCAACATGTCACTGTTTCAACGTCTGAATGTTGTTTTTACCTCTTTTTATTCACACATTTCCCTACTACATCCTATTCCCTAGACATAGGAACTGGTTTGACCTCGTTCGTACAACCACGCAGCACGTGGCGCTTGTTTGTTCATTTGTTGGCTTGAAAATGTGCAGGGATAGGCCTGTGCGCAACATGTCACTGTTTCAACATCTGGGTGTTGTTTTTACCTCGTTTTCTTCACGCATTTCCCTAATACATCCTATTCCCTAGCCATAGGAACTACTTTGACCTCGTTCGTACAACCCCGCAGCACGTGGCGCTTGTTTGTGCATTTGTTGGCCTGAAGCTGTATAAGGATAGGCCTGTGCGCAACATGTCACTGTTTCAACGTCAGAGTGTGTTTTTTACCTCTTTTTCTTCACACATTTCCCCAGTACATTCTATTCCCTAGCCATAGGAACTTGTATGAGCCCTTTCACACAACCACGCAGCACGTGGCGCATGCTTGTGCGTTCCATAGTGAATCTGTGCAAGGATAGGCCTGCGTGCAACATGTCAGCTCGCCAACGTCTGGATGCCTTTTTGACCACTATTTTTTCACACCGTTCCCTATTATATCCTATTCCCTAGCCATAGGAACTAGTTTGAGCTAGTTCGCACACTTACGCAGCATGTGGCGCATGTTTGTGCGTTCCATGGTGAATCTGTGCAAGGATAGGCCTATTCGCAACATGTCACCGTTTCAGCATCTGTAAGTTATTTCCACCTCTATTTCTTCACACAGCTCCCTAGTACATCCTATTCCCTAGCCATAGTAAGTGGTTTGAGCTAGTTCGCACAACTACGCAGCACGTGGCGCATGTTTGTGCGTTCCATGGTAAATTTGTGCAAAGATAGGCATGCACGCAACATGGTAGCTCGCCAACGTCTGTATGCCTTTTTTACGACTATTTGTTTACACATGAGGGAAGTACATCCTATTCCGTTGCCATAGGAACTGGTTTGAGCTCGTTCGCACAACTACGTAGCTCCTGGCGCTTGTTCGTGCGTTTGCTGGCCTCGAACTAAGCAAGAATAGTAGGCCTGTGCGCAACATGTCAGCTCGCCAACGTTTGGATGCCTTTTTTACCACCATTTCTTTGTTCAAAAGAGAAAACCTAAGCATCATAAAGCTGATGTATCGAATAATTTGACCAGTAGGGCTGTTAGTATAATTTACCGGATCTTAAACGCAATTGAATGTATACGTTTTTGTCAGAACTATATAGCTTATACTATTGTGTAGGCTATAGTGGGGTATCCCATAGGGGGTACAACCCAATTAGGGTTTCCTATTTGTACTCACTTCTTTCATAGTCATTCCATTCTCGTTCTCTCTTTCACATGGAATCAGAGCAGGTCCCCTACTAGGGACTGTTTCTTGGGCCCACCGAAGCGCGCCCCGAGGCGCGCGTCCTTTTTTTTTAGCGACCCGTCGTGTCGCCCTCCCTAGCGGCCTGTCGAGCCGCCCTACCTTGCGGCCCCGCCGCCCTATCGCGCGGCCTCGCCGCCCTAAGTCGCGGCCTGCCCGCCGCCCTACTTCGACGGCCCCGCCGCCCTACGTCGTGGCCCGCCGCCCTACTTCGACGGCCCGCCCGCCGCCCTACGTCGCGGCCCCGCCGCCCTGCGTCCCGGCCCGCCCGCCGCCCTACTTCGACGGCCCGCCCGCCGCCCTACGTCGCGGCCCCGCCGCCCTACGTCCCGGCCCGCCCGCCGCCCTACTTCGAAGGCCCGCCCGCCGCCCTACGTCGCGGCCCCGCCGCCCTCAGCTACGCGGCCCCGCCGCCTTCTGCTACGCGGCCCTGCCGCCCTCTGCTACGCGGCCCCGCCGCCCCTCGATCGCGGCCCCGCCGCCCTCTGCTACGCGGCTCCGCCGCCCTCTGCTACGCGGCCCCGCCGCCCTCTGCTACGCGGCCCCGCCGCCCTCTCCTACGCGGCACCGCCCCCTCTGCTCCGCGGCCCCGCCGAGCCGCCCAGCATCAGCCGAGCCGCCCAGCAGCAGCCGAGCCGCCGCCGAGCCGCCGCCGCCTGAGCCGCCGTCCGGGCCGCCGCCGAGCCGCCGCCGCCTGCGCCGCCGAGCCGGAGCCGCCCGAGCCGCCGCCGAGCCGCCCAGCAGCAGCCGAGCCGCCGCCGAGCCGCCGCCGCCCGAGCCGCTGAGCTGCGACCGAGCCGCCGCCCGAGCCGCCCGAACCGCCCGAGCCGCCCGAGCCGCCCGAGCCGCCCGAGCCGCCGTGCTGCTGTTCCTGAGCTGTGTTCTTCTGCTGCTGACCTACCCGACTCTCCCAGCCCGGTGAGACTTCCAGCTGCTACCATGGCCACCCCCAATGTTCTTACTTTTGACGCTGAGGGGAGGGCCATTGACTTTGCCGTCTGGATTGAAGACCTGCAGCTGTACTTACTGTGTGATGCGATAGATGAGGTCTCTCTTTTTGACTTTGTCTCTGGCGCTGTTCCTGCCCCACCTGCTGATGCTGACTCTGCCGTTCGCTCCAAGTAGGCGACCCGCGATGCTGCTGCACGTCTTGCTGTGCGTCGCCACCTCCCTTCCTCTGAGCGTGCCCACTTTAGTCAGTGCAAGACCGCTCAGGCCTTGTACGACGCTGTAGTTGCACGCTACTCCTCCCCTTCCTCCGCTACCCTTAGCCGCCTCATGCTACCGTTTCTCTTCCCTGACCTCGCTTCCTTTCCCACTGTCGCTGACCTCGTTACCCACCTCCGTGCTAGTGACACCCGCTACCGCGCTGCCCTTCCTGCTGAGTTTCGCGCTGCGAACCCTCCTCCCATGTACATCACCCTCTACTTTCTCGTCACCCGTCTCCCTGAGTCCCTTCGTGTCGTTAGGGACCAGTTTCTCTCAGTCTGTCCCACCACTCTCACTGTCGACCTCCTTGAGGAGTCCCTGCTAGCGGCTGAGAAGAGTATTGTCGCTGTAGGGGCCTCTCGGGGTGACCCTCGCACCCCCATCTTTGAGGGGTGTGGTCCTTCCCCCCTGCTGCCCTCTGTCGCCTCTGCCGCTGCGGCCGACCTCACTGGC